GTCCACCTTCGTGTGGATGGTTGCAGTCACTGGAGCGCTTCGAGTGGGCCGCAGAATCTTGGCCACTCCACTTCCAGATCTCTCTGTTGATTCCACAGCTCGCTGATCTCTCTGTTGAAATGTGTGTCTCCAAGCCTTGATCGAGGATCAGGGTCGTCTTCTGTAGCCGCACGCACCCTCCAGCGATTTCGTACTGGCAGGATAACACTGACTTCCACGCCGTTCGAGGATCAGGGTCGTCTTCTGCAGCCGCACGCACCCTCCAGCGATTTCGTACTGGCAGGATAACGCTGACTTCCACGCCGTTTCTCTTCCGGACTTCTTTGGGTGAGTCTTCTAGCTTTTCTTAGCTATAGAGACTGGATCCCACCTTCGTCGCCAGTGTTAAGTCCGGAGAATAATGGCGCTTGAGACGAAGCATCTCCAACAAGTCTTTATTGTTTGCTTCCATTCTACGAACGACAACCCCAGAGGCGCGCAAGCCTCTATATATACTCTCCGATCCCCGGACAATTCCCACCAGTCACAAGGCCGGCGCCGGTCAGTCTGGTCCCGGGCAGCTTTTGCAAATGCCCGGGACTCTTGCAACTTCCCGCGCCTGCTTCTGCAGGCACGGGACACAACATCCTCAACTTACAACGACAATTGAGCCCAAGATTTCTGTTGCTAAGTGAAACATTTGTTAAGTGAGTTTTGGCCATTTTACAATCTTTCTTGCCACAGTTTTAAGTGAATCACTGCAGTTGCTAAGTAAGTAACAGACATAAATATGAGTCTGTTGCCAAGTGTCTTAATTTTGGTCACGTGATCATGGGGATGCTGCAATGGTCCAAAGTGTAAAAACCAAACCTGTCATTTTTTTCAGTGCTGTTTAACTTCAACGGTCACTAAATGAACTGTTGGAAGTCGAGGACTAGCTGCACGGTGCTATCAAGTTTACTGGGATTTATTTCTTAATGAATACATCAAGAATTGACATTACTGTACATTCAGTTGTGACCATGGGCAAGATTTGTAGTTTTCCACTGCTGGTGTTGTTAGATCCAGATTTTTGATTTGGGACTTCATCTCAATGAGAATTTTAAAATCCTCTCTGTGCAAAATACCTTTATACCTTTATTTCAGTTTTTCCATTCATTTTACCATTATTTCTGATGAATCACAATTTACCTGTCCTTCACTACTAGGCTAAAATGTGGTTAAGTTTGTGGTTCAGTGTGTTTCTTTGAAGGTTCTGCACAGGACTACAACTCTGGAGAACAGGCTAGGAAGTTAGACCAAGGAACAGCAGTTTTTAAAGACACTTGGACAGATGAAGAAAAAAATCAGTGCAAGGAAACTTTCAGGCGAATTTTCTTTCTCTTTTTTCATTTCGTGAGGATTTTATTGGTTTTTGAGCTGCAATCCGCCCCTGCGCAAATCATTCTCGAAAAGCAAGCGGAGAGGTCCATTCGTACGTACGCGTGTGTGTGTGTGTCAAATGCAAACTTTTGTTTGAATCAAAAGTTTTTCAGGCGTGCAACTCGCACCTCCTTCTTCCAGGACTTGTAGCTTCTGTTTTTGTTCCTGCCTCGCCGAGTTCCGCCTGCGCCCCCTCCCCCGCCTTTCCGATTATCTTGGGGAGGGGGAGGAGATCCGCGCCCTCCTGAAACGGGCTGCCCCCGCGCTGCACTCTGGATGCGCGGAGCCGAGCAGTCACTGGAAGAGGCGATCTGACGTCAGCCGGAGAGGTAGTTTCCAGGCTGAGCTGTCAGACCGTATAGCAGGTTAGGTATTAAAAAGGCACATCTAACAGCCCCGAGACCCCTCCTCTTGAACGGCCTGCGCGCACACAAAGAAGTCCCATCTCCTCGTCCAGCCAGGACCCAGCAGCATCAGCAACTAGTGCTCGCCTCGGCCAAGGCTTTGGAGACGAACACTGCCGGCGGCGCGGCCAGGAGGGGGAAAGGGGGGCGGGAGTGGGAAGAAGCGCAAGAAAGAAAATGAAACCGTCGAGGAAAAGTAAGTGGCCGGGAAGTTTCTGGAGCGTTGGGGGGTTTTCGCTCTTTCTTCCCTTCTTTGACTGGATGAAACCCATTTCGGTTTGGATGGCCAAAGCGTGCAGGGAGCGCTTGCAGGCTAAAAGCGCCTGCAGAGAGTCAGGGCAGTGCAGCCCGCTTCTGTTTTTGTCAAAAGCACGCGGGGGGGGGGGAAGTTTCGCGTGCGTGTGGGCGTAGAGAATGGAGCACCTCCTGGAGAGACCCGGGTGTGTTTTTGTGTGCGCGACTGTCTCCGGTGCTTGCAAAAAGCTACTCAACTTTGCCAAAAGTAGCGCTGGGGAAGAAGCAGAGATTGAAAAGCACGAGGGAGGAGGAGGAGGGCGACGGAAAAAAATGCCTTCCAAGCACTCAACTGTGCCGGGGGGCGAGGGAGCGAGGAAGGGACTCTTTTGTTCGGTCCCATTTAGTCGGACGGTGGAGAAAAAGCAAAAAAAGCAGATCCAACTTTCTACACGCAGAAACAAAGGCAAGACTCTGCGACCACCTGAACCTCGTTTGCTTCCTGTAAAATAACTTTCAGAGGCTCTTTTTCTTGTACTTTTACGTGTTTTTTCTTTTCTCCCAATCCCAAAATGGCAACTTTCCCAATTTTCTCTTTGGCAAACTCCTCCTCTCTCTCTCTCTCTCCACCCCCCCCCCCCCATTCGTATTTTGCTCTCTCTCAAATCACGAGTTTTGGGATATGATTTTATTTTCCAGAAAATTTTGTGTTTTTTTTCCTCCTTCCCCCTCGTTGATTTGCCCAGCTTGTAGAATGACAGCTGGGGGGGGGGGGGGGAGAGATGCGTTTGGTGTAAAACCGGGGTAACGCGTGCGGGGGGGGGTGCAGGGGGTGCAAGTTCCTGTTTCTTTTGGAACAAAGAGAACTCTGTCTCGGCATCTGTCACTCAGGGCAAGAGACACCGAAGGAAACTTTTTTGTGTGCGCCTTCCTCAGTCCGCTCTTCGCTTCCAGTCCTCGGGGGCCCGGGAACCCTTTCATCCGGGAGAGAAAGGTCTCGGCTAAGCCCCCAGCCTTGCCCCTCGATCCCTCCATGGAAGGGCTTCGGAGGAGGAGGAGAGTTGGGGGTAAGAGCGGCGATGTAACAGGCAGAAAACATGGAGTCCCGGGTTTGTGCGTGCGTGGAGAGACGGGTAGAGATTTAAAGAAAGGGATGGTGGGGGGGGGGAGGGCTGAGCCGAGGTTATTTTTGCATTCCACTTTACTTTAGCCCTTTTGGAAACTCCTGCGCCTAATCCTCGCTGGAGCCACTGCCGCTGCGCGAAATCCGGGAGTTTGCAAAATCCTGTTTGCAAAGCGTGCGCGCTTCTTACTCTGTAGCAAACTTCTGACATCTTGAATTCAAACGGAAGAAAAAAAGAATGTTATCGGTCTGTCCCCCCCCCTTTCCTCCCTCCCCCTCAGTTCCTTTCCGCCCCTCGTCGGGCTGGTTTCAATGGCATTCCCTTTGTGTAGGAATGGGCACGGCGGCTGCCGCTTGTTGCCGTTTCAACTTCCTTTCTGCTGGCTTTTGGTATTGGTGGGTTGTCCTGGTTTGTTTTGTTTTTGGTTGAAAGTAGGCGGTTTGGCGGAAATATAAGCCGATCAAAAAAAAGGGGGGGGGGCTTTCGACCCGAGTCTCCTCCGTCCTTCCTGTATTGTTTGCATTTTTACTGGTTTCCCCCCTCCGCGCGCTTCCCTCCCCCCCCGTGGGGTGGATTGTGCCGTTCCCATGTGCAGCTGGTGGTGGGTAGCTCAGGGCTAGGAGGAAACGGCAGCGAAAAAAAAAAAAAGAGAAAAGGCACCTCCTCCTCCTCCATCTCTGATGAGTTACAGACTTAAAACTGAAGGGAGAATGCCTCCCTCACGTACCCAGCCACTCCTCTAAGCCCCGTGGCGCTCGGTTGCCTGCAGGAATCGGACAAGGATCCATTTGCTTTTTTAATTAGGCACAAAGTCTTGCCATTTTCCCTTGTGGGGGGCGGGAGGAGAGAAAGAGCGAGAGGGAATCGGGTTTGCATTTCAATGGACTTGAATTTGCCTGCTGTTTGTATGCCCTCTTTCTGGGGGTGGATCCCGACGTGTTGATCATTGAATGCCTTCCTCCAAACAAACTCGACCACATGTCTGGAAAAGGGCAGTAAGCTAGCCTTGAGCAAACTGAAAGTCGATTGTTTTCTGTGGACCATTTTCCCCCCCTGTGTAGGTTCTTTCTGTTCTTCCCTCCCCCCCTTTTTTTCTTTTTGAAGTGGTAGAAAATGCTCGTAAATGTAACAATCTGTACTTAAGGGAAGAAACTTTTTAAGAACAGAATGTGTTCAGCCTTCAACATCCTCCAAAAGCCATGTACCCTTTAATATCTTAATATTTGGGTGATGGTTTCATCATGGTTCAACAAGCACTAAAAACTCCAGTGGGGCTGTTTTTCTTAAAAATGTTTTAATGAATGCATTTTAGTTCTATATAGCAATTCCAAGGATAAATACACACAGAAGAATGGGGAGAAAACTTTTGGGGGATAAATGCTCCTCTCTCAAGACTGCCATAAAGGGACCCAGTCATTGCACTGGATGGTTAGCTGTGTCAAGAGTTGTAAAAAAAAAAAAGGCAATATTTGGAAAAAAAAGTTATTAGTTTGCTATAGAACTTTTAATTTCTAAGCAAAGAAATTGCTAGTGCTGCCTCTTAAAGTGTTTTGTATTACAAAAAAGGTGTGATTCTAGCATTTCAGAACAGGAACACAAAAAGCATTCTGTGTGTTTGATAGACTGGATGGATCTAGTCATGATGCCTAATGGTTCCTTTAACATCATTGATACGAGATTTTATACCCTATTTTATCAGAACACAAGGCTGTCCAGAAAAGCATATGAAATTAATACGCCTTCTCCCGTTTGCTCCTTACATATGCAGAAACTGATCACACAAGGATGCCATTTTTTTTGCATTTAACATACAATTCTGATGCTTTCAGGTTTGAACCAAGACAAATCTGCCAACAGTTCCACAATGTCTGACAGTGACTTTGGGGAAGATGATGGGAGCATTTCTCAGGACCCATCCCAGCCTGGCAAGAGGAAACGAAGGGGCAATCTCCCCAAAGAGTCTGTCAAGATCCTGCGGGAATGGCTGTATGAACATCGGTTCAATGCGTACCCTTCAGAGCAAGAGAAACTCAGCCTTTCCGGGCAGACAAGCCTCTCTGTTCTACAAGTAAGAAACTTCTAATATGCTTTCCCAGAATGTGGCTCTGAAATTAAGGCCGGGGTGGGGTGGGGAGGAAGCTGGCAAAATGGAAAAGCTGTTAAATAAGAGCTGGGTTTTATGCTTTCAAATCCCTAACACATACCAGTTGGGTTTTTATTTAAAATCAAACTTCAGAATTCCCATACAGATTTTTGCCCTGCTTGCTTTCTTAAAAGGTTTACGGCTTATAATTATTGACATTGGATCTGAAAAACTACATTTTGGGTATTTTGAAGGACAAAAGTAATATTTTTCTGCCTCTGTAATGTTTAGTATATCTTTGTCCAGTTTGATATTTCGTAATTAAAATAGAAGGGAACTTGCTTAGGATATAAATGTTAGAAGAGAAGCAAGTGTTATAATAGTTCTGTTTTGGTCTAATACTTAATGGTTCCCTCATTGAATTGACTCGTTTGTTGTCCAAAATAAATCTAAGGATGGTGCTGGTAATGAATTTATGATTGGGATGACAGAATATCTTAAGACTCATTAGCAACCCTTTACTAGAGTCATAATGACACTGGTGAAATTAACTCCTAAACTGTCCTTGTAGTACTTTAGTTGTGATGGGAAGCTAGTACAGAATGTGGTTGAATATTCAGTAATATTTCCAAATATAGTGTCTACTGCCAAACATTCAGTGACTCATTAAATCATCAAACATCTGAGGCCCAATTTTCCATGAAGTGGGATATTTCAAGCCCATGTCTAGATCTAGTATATAAGATACGTCTATTCTTTAACCCTGGTTAGAATTTCAGTGTCACACTCCTCTATCACAAGTCCTCTACCAGACCAGGAGAGGTCAAAATGCTGTGGGGCAGAAATATAAGCATTGATTGGCCTGTCTTTGCAGAACCAGAGACATTATTAAACTTTCTTGTTAACGTTGCCTTTAAAAATGTCTTCTTATGATCTGTGTGACTGGAATGCACAGTAGTGGGGAGAATAGATGTCTCTGATGGGTTTTTTTTTTTGACCAGCAAGTAATTACAAGAAATGTTTGGAACTAAATAAGCAGATTTTATTTTATGCCTATTTAAGGTGTGACTTAGCCTTCTAAGGCCATATTAATTAAAACTGTACATGATTCAGTTTTGAAGACAAAAAAAAGTGCTATTGAGTATATGGGAGTGTGAATGTAGCACCTGCCTGCAACGTGTGCGGCTGTGTGACAGCTGCAGAGAGAGAGCAGATAGGCAACCCATAACAAAGGATGTCTGCTTTAAGGAATTGTAGAAAAGTGCTGGTTATGTTCACTTGCAAGCTCTGAACCACAACTTTTTCTTTATATCTGAAGCACTGCCGTACATTTTGTGTGCTTTCAAATCAGTCTTGGCTGCTGATGACTGCTTGGACAGATGCATGCAATTTTCTTGGGCAATATTTTTGGAAGCAGTTTGTTATTTCCTTCTTTCTAGGACTGAGGGAGAGTGATTGGCCCAAAGTCAGTTGGGTTCATGATTAAGGCAAGCCTGGCACTCACAGTCTCCCAGTTTCTAGCCTAGGGTCTTCAGTACCAGCCTGGCTTTCAAAGCCTTGGTATCAGGATAGAATTCAACCAAATAGAATAGCAGTTTAAGCACTTTTAAATGGCTGGTGTTTTGCTTATCCTCTTCCTTTCTCCTTTTTCAAATACATTGTGGCCTGAGATTTAAGGTAGCAGAATGTGACCCTAAATCAGTGGTTCTCAACCTGTGGGTCGGGACCCCATTTGGGGCCGATCGACCATTTCATGGGGGTCACCAAGCAAGGCTGTCCGCCATTTTTTTTGTCCACCATTTTTTTTCCCTTTTCCGGCGGGTGCCTTACCTCCCTTGGGCTGGGCCAGCTGGTGGTCGGCCTGCTCCGTCTCTGCCGCTTGCCAGCTACGCCTCGGCCGGCGCAGGGGGCGGAACCACGCATGTGCGGTGCTCCTGGGCAGGGAAAGTCCTCGACTTAACGACCGGTTGGGTAGTCCTCGACTTACGACCGGCTTAGTCCTCGACTTACGACCGGCTTAGTCCTCGACTTACGACCGGTTGGGGTCGCAGCATTAAAAAGGTTGAGAACCACTGCCCTAAATAAACTGTTGGCCGAGTTCTGGCAACCAATGGGCCAAAGATAATTCATTTTACTTCCTTATGGTAAATTTTTCTCTGTGTCTGGTTACAATGGGGAGGAAGCTATGTAACTTAGAAATTAGGGGAGAATGCCAATATAGAAATCCAGCTGCAATGCAGAGACAGCCTCTGAATGTATCTGATCTGAATTTAGCTTCTTCTTTTTCTGAAGGCTTGCCTCCTCCTGCTTGTGACCTTACATTTTAGCAACTATGTGCTGATTTTCAGTCTCTACAAAACAAACCTCAAAATAAGCGGAAGTTTATTGAGTAATAAGGTCCTTTCGAGGCTGTTTTCAAAGAGTTGGCCAACTTCATAATAAACAGCAAATTCTGTGGTGGTTTCAATCTAGTGATATTGAGGGTAAAAAGTCATGAGTTCTACCTTGTAGGATAGGTGGGAGCTGGCAAAATAATAAGTGTACAGTTAAATTTTCTGTGCTGCGGTACAGCTTTTCAAAAATAAAGCTAAAGTACATCTAAACTCTGAGCACAAGCTTTGGAAATTATTTTAAAGGCATTTTTTCAGATAACTGGATATTTTAATTTTCTGGGTTTGCGCTGGAGAAAGTGTCTTAATGCCTCATGAATGAACATAGGTTTGATCTAACAAAGTAGAGATGGCCCCACATTAATATTGATGCCTAATGGTTATGTGGATGCATCCATGTAGATTTCTTGCCAGTAGTGAAGAAGTAATTTGTCATTGCCTTCTTCCAAGTGTTGGGTTTTTTTTTTTAAATTTCTTAAGCTAGTCCTGGAATTTTCAGCTGCTCCTTGGTCTACTTTTGTGCTTGACTGGTTCAGAATTCAATGTTGCTGCAAGAATAATTGTTTTACTTATTTTTATGCTCCAATTCAGTAATAATTATATTTTCCAGATTGGAGTGGACAGTAGCACAGTTTTCTTTCGGATCAGATTCTAATGGTGTGGGAGAACAGATTTCATTGATGGAGGAAGAAGAGGGAAATTTCTCCTCTTCCTCAAACACCCCCCACTATCCAATCAAATTTCTGACGCTAAACATTGTAGAGTAGATTTTGAGAGTATAGTGAGGATTGGGCAGGAGGGACAGGAGTTACAATCCTAATAATATGAGCAGATTTAGGATTCTTCAGCAGTGAATTCAGTCTTTGGTGCTCAATAAACATATTACCATTTTGAATTCTAGGTGAGATGGCAGAACTCTTAATTTGTACCTGCTTTTTTATTGTTAAAGGACCAACATGGCTAAAAGAGGAAATAAATTGAGCTAAAACCCCAAACCAGCTTAAGCATTGCTGAACAGAATGGTTCAGGCTCCTTTCTTGAAAAGAGAGAGAATGGGAGGCTAAGTGAAACTCCTAAGGGAGTGCATTCCAAAGATTGGGAGTGATAGAGCGGAAAGATTGCTCCTTCATGCCCCAAGAATAGCCTCTGAAATCTGGAAAGATGCATAGCAAGATAGGACAACCTGTTAGATAGTCAGGCCCTAAACTGTAGAGACCTTCAGAGGTTAAAACCAACATATTGAATTGTGCCTTAATAGCACTCATCAACCAGAGAGGTCTCCCTATAGAGTATAAGGTGATCCCCAACTCATTCAATGCGTTGGCAGGTGTATTTTGTACCCGTTGAAGTTTCTGGACACTTTTCAAAGTAACTAACTGCAGGCACTGACAATTATTTGATGGGAGACCCACAAATTAAAATGCTTCAGGCATGGATTGGTATATTACCAATATATCAAGACTTTATTTCATCCTTTTGCAGTAAAACCTTTTTTTTCATTGAAGAGAAACTGGCTAGATCATGGCATTAGATCTAGCAGTTCCTAATAGGTTATTGCGGGAATCCAGTACTTTAAGGCTGTTCTGTCAGTATTAGTCATATTATACTGGGTTATAGAAACTTGCAATTTATAAAATAAAGGGTGGCCTACTTTGTTCGTGGTACAGATTTTTAGGGTAGCTAAACTTTTATGAAGAGCTCTAAAGGAACTTTCCAGACTGGTGAAATACATATAATCAAGGCAGGTGCAGTTAACAGGAAAAAGTGTTTGCATTCTGTGATATATATACAGATAGGATGTGAAATGGACTATTTGACCAGAAAATATATGTGGTGGTTGTGGTAAGCATCTCCATAAAAATATCAGCCACAAAAAGGAATACCATCATCATTTTGTTTAACAGATCTGTAGTGCAGGATCACTTATGTTGGCTAGAATTATGGTATTTCATCTCAAAAAGGGGCATTTTGGGAACTGCAAAAGATAGCATAAAAGACAATAAAAATGAGCATCTTTGTAGAAATAATTTGGAAGGAAGGAAGGAAGGAAGGAAGGAAGGAATTTCTCCTGCAATGTTAGCTTAGTTCATTTGTATTCTACAAGCCCGATAATAGGATATATGGGCAGTGCACAGAGCATTTTCCTTGTTATGCAAAAGGGTAAAAATATATTATTAATTATAGAATCATATACATTCCCAATGTGTAAGATATAGTTAATTGCTACTAAATAAATTGGAATCTCTGTGCCAACTTTTAACTCTAATTTAAATTGACTTTCTATATAATAACATCCCTAGAATGTCATAGCCACAATCTCCAATCCTGCTGCAGTGTGGACTTTATATTATTGTAAAATTTAGGAGGATTATCTCTAGCTTTTGGCATTTTGTAATGAATAACCTTCTCTAGAATGAAGTTTTTGTAAATTTGTTATCTTTTCTGCTGTATAGTTGGAAAGTATAATTGTAGCCTTGGCTATGATAACGACATTTGCTTTCTTTTCATTTTAATTCTTTGTCTCTATGAAAAAGATCTATTGGAATTGCAAATAAACAAAAAGATGAAACTGGCTTAAGTATATATAATGCTATA